AATGTTTTGAAATTGGTTCCCCTTATGACTGTAATCTTCCCCTCTAGTAAGCGGTCACTTCTATTTAGCAGTCGTGGACACCCTTAACTAAATACCAACGGCCTGTTTGTGTTGTTCTCCACTTGTATTGTGCGGTCACTTGAAGTGCGAACACTCAAATTAAACTAAGAATATCATGTACTTTCAAGTAAAATTCAATCCACCTTTCCAATGTGCCACAATTTCGATTGGGAAACCTACCATTTAGAATCCTACTTACTTGGCGTAACAAACCTTTTTCCTCTTTTCTTGATCTCTAGACGACCTGCTCCAACAACTAGGTGCTCCACATAGAGATATTTCAGACTTATATGCTTTTCCTTGTTTTGCAATATCAATAGCTATAGCAGTTCAGCGATAATGAGCTACACAAATAAACATTACAGACTCAAATTGTGATTTTCTTTCTACAAAATCTCGAGAAACAGCTGTACTGACAATTACAAGCTAAACCAAAAGGCAACATCAACTTAAAAGCTGTTTTTTTTCTTTCTTTTTTGTGACAATTAATTAAAGTAGCAGCTGTTTGTAAATTAAGAGTTTATCATGGTTACGTAACCTATTTAGTAGGGTGTTGCATGTTACGTCGTTACAACTGCTTCATTAGGAGAGAGTTGGTATTTACACTGCGTTGCTTTCACTCATATTCATTCGTGTTATATGAACGTCTCTGCGCCCTCAAAATTAAATACCCAATGAGTGAGGGCTGTTAGTTTTTCATATACATATTTACAAAGCGTATGCATAAGAGTCAGTGCGTTTATTATCTTATTAGTTGCTTGCTTGTTATATTTTTAGCCTTTCAGAGTTTCTGTAATTTTGCCTGCAAGACATAATAAAGAGGGTCCCACAAGGCTCGTGTTGAAACACCCCAGCTATAGTTGCTTATTACATAATAAATGTTTTATATTCATTTGATTGGGATAGCGAACTAGAACATAAACGTTGTGGTTTTGTGTATGCCATCAGGTTGTTTAGCTGCAACCTCGTTCCCAGGGCCTCTCTTCTCCCCCTCTTCCTCTCTCTCGAGATGAAGGGAAGTCAGGAGACATAAGGAACGAGGTTCAGTCAGTTGTTTCAAATAGTTGCATCTAAAGTCGATGTTTAGGTTATTTCAAGTCTTTTGACTCTTCAATCAAGGTAACTGGAAAATTCTCATCAAAGGTTTTTCAATAGTAGAGATAAAATTTATATGGTTTCAGACTCATACTTCTCTTTCGAGAGCAACTTAGTTTCCCTGACCTTGTGACACTAATGCAATCTACCAAAGCACAGAACAAATGCATGCTTATTCCGAAGAGATCAAATATCGAAGAGAATCCCCTCCAAAGTAAATGTTACCGTATGTTCCAGCCGACAGAAATACACCACAATCTTACAAACTCAACTACTTTAATATACAGCGAGCAATGTTCTTAACAAGGAGCGGCTTCTAAAAGCAGTACAGTGCTTATCGTTAATAAACTTAATTAAGCCCACCACGTTCTATATCCTAGCTCACCACTGACACAATCTCACTGCTGTCTCCAAATTTCCTTGAAATGAGCAATCTTCCGCAGTAACTCTCTCTCGGTATAGGTTTCAAAACAGTCGTCGCTCCGACAACAACCACTACTACTATTACATTAGTGAGTCTTTATATATCTTCACATAAGGAACATTCCAGACGCTTACACAAGGACTATTTTAGTAGTATTACATAATAAATACGTGACTTGATGAAATGTTCTGGAAAGGTCTATGGTATGCATGTCAGCATGACTCAGCAGTCTGAAAATTTTCAGGGGGTCATATTTACAACAATTACTCGTAGTATAAACCAAAAACATTTACTCGCTTGTTACCCGGTTTCAGAGAGGCACACTAGGAGTAAAGTATCCTGCTCAGGAGCGCAAAGGCTTGGCTTAAACAATCTGATTTTAACCCATTGCCTTAAGAGCCCTATCTCCACAACCCCCCCTCCTCCCTCCCCTTATTTCCGCCGCTGATAGCGATTGTGACCTCAGTGTTGTCAATATCATTTTCTAAGTGTTCGCGAATTCTATGATGTATAAAGTAAACAACGCTTCCTTGTCACAGGACCTTATCAGAAGAAATTTGTTAAATAAGTGCGAATGCGAATATGTTACGTAGACTTGATGAAGAAAACTTCCCAGGACAGAATTTCCCTTTAGCCTACGTGTAACCGCACCCACTTCTCCGCCAAGGTGAAACGGAGACGAGGCAACGTCTACGCAAAACCTGAAACCAATCGTGTTCTGTGACAACACTCCTTTGTAAGAAAATATATAATGACTTTTGATTGGTTAATCCCTTTTGCCGATTCTTTCGTTAATTCTGATTGGCTAGAGTTAGTAATTTGTTTTCATACTAACGAACAAGATGATGAACAAAATGCCTTCACGGCCAACTTTTCAGACAACAACGATCTACGACCAGGTTTTAAGGCAAGTTTGTGCGACTTTTGGGAAAGAGACATTTCAAGAAGAACAGTAGAAAGCCATAGATGTGTTTTTCGTAGGTAACGATGTCTCCGTTTCGTTACCAACTGGCTATGGAAAATCTTTAATATATCAACCAACGCCAGTGATCGATCACCTATCTTCTCAAGAAGGAACCGGTCATTATATTTACGGTGCCGCCCGTTAAAGCTCTCACAGATGACCAGGTGCACTATTTTAATGCACTTGGGCCAAGAGGATTGCCTGCTTTCAAATTGCGGTCTCTTTACGAACGGTGCTGCCAAGCAATTAAATAGAGCTGGTTGTTTCTTGCAGCGATTCTTTCGACTGAGAAAAAAGTCCTTCTTTGTTCACGCTTACAGCGTAACTATCTCTCAAAGAAATCTGTAAAAACCTCGAGATTCACCGGCAAATGATCCAAATTTACAAATGCAAGCAGAAACCGCGTGGACTTCGCAAGCGCGATGCTAATCGAACATACTCTATACCAAAAAGCTCCCATAATCTTTTCCTACATCCTCAAAGCAAAGTATACATTTGAACTCGAACGCTGAACTGCAAATTTACCCGAAAAATTAAAAATGAATTCATTTCAATGTTGTTGTTTCTCGATAACCTTCACGCTAACATGTGCCACTTCGCAAAAAAATATTATCAAGTGACATTATTTTGCATAAATTAGAGCGACGTCACGAAACACGAATAGTGTCAGATTTTCGTGGATGTTCCCACGTTTCCGTTTCACCTTGGAGGGGAGGGTACGGCTACACGTAGGCTAATTTCCCATCAGCCTTTTCACAATTTCTGTATGGGATGAGAAGACTTTAGAAAGTAATTTTTTTTCGAGGAAGTTTACTGAAGGACACTTGGCTCCAAACCGGATACTTTAATTTCTACAAGGGCAAGATGCACCCTTAAAGGAAGATCATATATCCACGCACTACATAGCCGGTTACTTTTCGATTCATATGCTTCTTTATTCCAGCATTATTCTGTCCTAGTAGAGACCTATAGATTCCAAGAGGAATAAGATTACAAGTTTTAGCTTCGCCAATGGCACCATTGATAGTGAGCGTGCGCAGATTTGCGTTGTTTTGGCGGAGAGAAAGCAATTTTATGGGATAAGCTTTGCGAGCATGGTGACATGGTAAAAATGCTAGCAGTTTCATAGTTTAACAGTCACGAGTAAGTCAATCCGATACCAAAAGCTGTACAAGCTGTTTGGCTCGTACAGTGGTTTTTCACTAACGACTTGAATTGAATCCAAAACTCGTTTTCGAACTCGTCTTGGAAACTAAAGGTATTTAACATAAGCAAATTACATGATAAACTTCGAAAAATTTCGATATCTCATCACCCTCTTCCTATACAATTCTACTCTATCTACAGACAATACGTCGCTGAAAACATTTGTAACAATCTAATAAATATTAGCCTACACTAAAAGGAAGTCTTTGTTCCCGCGCTATTTATATACAGAGAGAATTATTATTTCGTTACAATGCGAAGCGGTTGATTTCTCTCAGCTGCTCTTATGTTAGACATTGATATTTAAAACTAAGGCATTTTTAAGAGGAAAAGATAAAATATGGAGCATGCATGATAAGGGATGTTGTTATGGTAGAGGTGATTGGTTGAGAAAACTGGCAGAAATCAAAACTGTAAACATGGGTGTTGTCCTGCTCGTCGAACGAGCAGAATATTTTTGGTTCGCGTTCACAAATTGTGAGAAAATAAATTAATGATGGTCGAATAGTTCAAAATAACTGGAATGTTTTTGAACAGCGCACACTGTTAGGTGCAAAAAATATATACATAAAACACAACGCAAAAAGAAAGGCCGAGTTTTCTAACCAATCTTCCTTTCTAACTAGAGTGGCACTTGCATATCTGTAAACTTTCTCCGTCGCGTTAATTAAACGTATTTACATCTTTATCCTAAGCCAATAAAACTTGACTTAAACTTTGAACTACTTTTGGCTAAATAACATAAGTGTCTATTTTTCGTTTAGCTACACCAATATGGCGAACGTGACGGCTTGTGAATGCATTTAATCGCGGTAAGGGTTTTTCTAAGCCGATAACCCAGACCCTCCCGGTTGGGAGATTCAGAGCGTTCCAGGTCTAGGAAGTGAAGAGAAGAACAGCAACTTCGGGAAATGTTTCGAAGTTACTTTGCTCCTCTCCACCCTAGAGCCTCGGTGAAAATAACGCTTTTTGAACGTGGAATTTTCTTGATGATTCATGCATAAGATGAACCAAATGGTTATAACAACCAAAACACATGCGTCAGCTAAGTTTTTATAAACACTTTGCTACCCGGAAGAGATTAATATGTAAATTCTCTTTACAAAGTCGATACATTATCCGATAAACAAGTGATGAGAATGAGATAAAAGTTATCCTTTACAGATCTTATCATTGAATTTTCCCCTAAAATCTACAAAGAAATTTTATGGCGGTTAGAAGGGGGGAAATTGGCACCAACCCGACCTTCATTTAGCAGGATGAAGTCCTGAGTTTTGAACATGGCAATGACGCTTTTTTATCCACAAAGTCAAAACTGTGTTTAATCTCAGGACTGTGCTTTTCGCTTGAGGTGCTGGAGTGCTGATAGCCTGGGTTGCTAGGCGACCTTGCCGTTGTCCCAGTGCGAGATTGACAGTTCGGATATTTGGCACCACTGCCACTCAAATCTCGTGGTTCTCTTCGGGGTCGAAGGCGCAAAACTTCGCGAAAGGCCTGCCGGAATGATCGATTAAGGGCGTTGTAGATAATTGGATTGTTGGCATGGTTACTGACCACAAGCAGAAAGGAGACCATATCCAGCCAATGAGGAATGTGGAAATCAGGGTCAATCATCTGCACAATGTTGACTATACTGGCAGGGATGTAGCACACTATGAACACTAATATCACGATGAACAACGTGGTAGCGATTTTAATGTCTTCTACATGAACGGATGGTTGGCTTCGGCGAAGGTTTCCCATTATGGCTCCATGAGTTTTGATAATTTTGTAGATTTTCAGGTAGCAAAACAGGATGACAGTAAAGGGTGCTATGACAACGAAAACGGCAAAGGTTACTGTATAGGATATACTGCGACTGAACAAGAAATGGCAGACGCATTTTCCAACTTGATACTCGTGCTCGGACCAGCCAAGGATAGGAGCAAGAGCCAACACAAAAGGTACCAGCCAAGTAAGAGCCAAGATTCGCAGTGTGTTCGTGTTTGTGTAGATCCTGTTGTACTTTCCGCCTTCCACGATCTTGAAATATCGATTCACGCTGATTGCGCACAACGTAAGCAGCGAAGTGGCACCAAGAAGTACGGTTAGGACTCCATTCAGTTTACAGATATACTTCCCGAAAATCCACTCTCCATGATTGATAATGGTCGACAACATGAATATCAAATTGGCTGAGCCAAAGATATCGGCGATGGCGAGGTTTATGAGGAAATAACTACCTGTTGCGCGGTGCGAACGGCGTTGTTGTTGCCAAAGAACAATAATTACCAGGATGTTCCCAATCATTCCTAACAGAATAATAATAGCGACGACAGGTGCCAATAGACCGATTGCCAGAGTGGACCAATGGAAATCGGGATCCACGGGTGACGGCATTATCTCACGAATCAAACGAGATCTAATCTGAAAAGAGCAGACAAATGATGGCATTAATCTCGATTCGTCTTGGATCAGAGTGAAGATATTTCATCAGGGTGGTTTGTTGCGTTCTGGGTGGTTTTTCGGGAATTTTAGAAAGGAATATGCGTCTTGTTACATTGACACATTTAGTAACGCTAGATGCATTTCGCAATGATTTAACGCTGAGTTCACCTCTGAAATGATGTCACAATCATTTTCACAATTTTTTGTGAAAGCTTCTTCGTGGAATGTATTGCAAAATTGAATTTAGGTCGACATTTTCTTAATAGTGAGACATCTGTGGGGTTATATCGCATTATATGTAACATGATGCGTGTCCTGATGCACTTAGAATGCCATCTTCATACAACATCGGGTTTAAGGAGTACGTTCTCCTTACGAAAGAGCACATTTGGGAGATTTAAAACATTAAACTGGTCTCACAGATAACCTTGCACTAGCTGGTGAAATCTTTGGACCATAAATTAAGCAAAAATAGCGTATCATCATAGCCAGCTCTGATGCGATGGAACTATAACAAAAATGTTCTGTAAATGGAAGCGAAATAAGGTGAACTACTAAAAGAGAATTACGAAACGTCTTCGGCCTGGTGTAAAATCATTAAAAGTCAGCTGCTGTATTATGCGCCCACATTAAACTGAAATGAAAACACAAATAATAAAAACACTTCTTTTCTTCGGGCCACGATCTCTTATGGACGAGTTTGGTACTGGTAATCTCCCTACAAACAAGCATCAGGGATGCCTCTAGTTTTTAATAAAATATCTGGACCATCAAAGTGTTAAATGTTTGAAAGCTAAATTGCTGATAGTCCCCGGCTGCAAAGCAGCTGCCGAACAGTCAGAATTCCAATAATGGTTCCGCAAGGAATTCACGAGCTGGAATCATCAGAACCAATCAGTGAATTCGACGTGCAACTTGCAATAGAACTACACTGAAAGTGCGCAATTCAAAATGGCAAAAAGGGATGAAAACAGCATTAAAGGGTAAAAAGAAGAGTAGATTTGCTGAGGTATTTACGCGCCCTTTGAAATGAAAATAGAAGTGCTCTGCAGAAAACGTCAGTACCACTTACTTAAACTGATTAGAAATGCGTTACAATGAAGGCCAGGTGTTGTCGATCTTTGCAGAAGATTCGTGGATGGCGTATCAGCTTAACTTGGCTTCTTCCAATTCTTCAATTGGTATAAGAGACCAAATGGTTGACTTCTTGTCTAAAATATTCTTCCTTGAATTTCAAGTACGCTCATACAGCTATGTGGATGTAGCTAAGTGCTTTACATGCGATACCGTCTGAGGCACTTGCCCGGGCTTGGCGGCGATACTGCCGTTTTAAATGTCAGCTTATGTCATCTTTTTCGAGTGCCGACTTTAATTCCAACGTAAATATAGAATAACAGCGATGACACTCGATTTGAACACTCGTTGCGTCTGGCGCCTTCAAATAACTGTTATTGGAATCAAAAGGTTGATCGAAAAACCTCGCACGGATGAAAAGAAAGCTCGGCAACAAGAAGTAAATTCGTTCGTCCAAACGCTTTTTCAGAGGGCGCTTTTGTCATGAAAAGTTCGTAAATCGGAAATGCCTTTTGGTTCAACTTGACCAGACAATTGACTTCCCTCACCGTTTTCAATAAAGCCTACTAAGTACACGACTACGGATGTTGATAAAGTTTCCGACAAAAGAGTTGATAATCTACTTAAAATTATCGGAGTCTGAACATTGACAGAGAAAGACAATGCTGGAATATTCTGGAGTCACTCGGTAGTCTCATTTACTGGTTTTAAACGTCGCATACAAAGGCATCGGAAATTCGCTCTAAGATGCGAATCAAGCATTGTTTTCTTTCCGTTGCTTTGAAAAATGACAATGTTTTTCTAGCTCCCGTCTTTTCCTTCCTTTTAACGCCACATTCTTGCACCACAAAATACCGACCCAGCCCAGATGTACATCTTCGACACGTAGACATATTTTTTTCTCGTTTAATTAGCTAAAAAAAGTGAGCGATGTGTTAATGACAAGTCTTTATGTAAAGTACAATCCCCGACGTCTAAAAAACAATGATATTCCTCATCGGGGTAAAGTTTAAAAATAGGTTTACGAAACTGTCAAAGAAATCCCACGAATAGAGTCGTGTTATATAACGATATCTCCTTTATAGCGAAACTCAAAATTCTTCTACTGGTTAAAATCTCTCTCTCTCTTAGGTCCAGTTGTGAGAAAGTGCATCTAAGCCAACCTATTGGCTCAACCAAGTCGACTCTATTTCAGACACAAACGGCTAAAAATTCGTACAGAACTTCTGACTTAAAATGGACGAAAATGATTTTCCATTTGCGCCATGCGAACCTAAAATGTTGAGCAAATGCATTAAACTGCCCTCGGCGCGCCTTGCTCCTTCGGCAATGCTTTGGGAGGTGTAGGAGGGAAGGATCTTTTCATCCTTGCCGCGCTGTCCCCTCCGATTGTTTTAGTACCTCGTTTTGTAGGATTTTCGCAGTACTTTCGACTTGGGTTAAATGTCAGAAAATAAACATTTGCTCCGTACAGATAACAATCAGACGCAAGATCCAACCACAGATTATCGAAATCCGCTTAAGTACGAAAATATTTCCACATGCGGGTCGAACGTCATAGCGGTTAATTCAATCAGCAAGGAAAGAAAGTTTGCTTAATTTAATGATAGGTGATGTCAGTGATAAAAAGCGTGTTGACTTGCCAAGAAAGTTGAGGTTTGTCTGATGAAAAGACACAGAAGATAAAAACCTGGCCCTAAATTATCCATTGGTTTATAATTGTCGAAGGCAGTTGTTTGAGCGTACTGAGAATCACGCAGGTGAGAATTTGTAAACCGATATAAAGTGGGGTGACTTTGTCAAGAACGGTAACATTTTAAAAAACCGACATACTAAGGTGCAGGGTTGGATCTACACTCAAAGAGGTGCGCCAGCGGATAATACTAAACATGTCATCATCATCGGCTTAATTAGACAAGGTCAGGTCACACGACTGAAAATCTAAGACAATTTTTTTGTTGTTTCTGTCAAATTAGATTCATAGGTCGATGTTCGCCGTGTATGGCTCTGAAATGTTTCTTTGTTTAGTGTAATCATCTTTGAGTTCTTGGAAAGGGCTTCTTTTGAGCTCAAGACAAACAACCGTCCATTCTTAGAGAAGACTTTCGCCCAAAAATTAATTCTCTTTGCCACACGCTCTTTTAAGGTCTCCAATGTCAATGTTTTCTCATTGAATAAGCTAAAATGCTGGTTGTAGACGGAGAAAAAATGAAAAGAGCGTCTTTACAAGACGTGGAAACTGTGTTTGAGTTCTGTTTCCTCGTGGGTTTGCATACACATTGACAAATGATATTTGACAGCAAAAACAACGCACTGAAAAGAGCAAAAATAAACCTATATAACTTAAAGGATTACTCTAAGTTTAACAAAAAATTGAAATACCTCGACCTTTGGTAAAAAACGAAAACTTCACTAGCTTAAGTCTGGTAATAATGAATTATCGGCAGCCTTTGTCTCACGATGCAGTCAATATCAGGGCGGATTGCAACGTTTTAACTGCACAATGTCAGTCTTTTTGGGCGCCTAAAGAAGACTACAGCACTAGCCCAACAGCAGGTCTTAGGAGGCAGGGCACAGATCGTGCTCCATTCTGGAGTTATTAAATTGTGAGACCAGCGATAATATACATATTTCATCAAAACGGTCTTCACTGCGACGTATAACCACAAACTTTTTTACAATGGCTTACGTTTGGCTGTGAAGTGAATGCTAATGAAAACCACAGATAAACAGCTAGCGTAAACTATTATCACTACGTGACGAAACGATTTCACACCAATATCGTGTTTTCCCTATGATTTCAGGAGCATAAAATTAAATAAGTACCACTGTTAAGTACAAGAAAGGCTTACCGATTGCTTCCCAAAGTTTCTCCTTTTTCTTTCGATCATAAATTTCTCCAAATGAATGGAAGGTTTCCACTTCGTTCTCTAAACTTTTAACAGACGATCTAAAAAAACCCCTGCCTTAATTCGGTTCTTATATGCTGCCCTCTTGGTCAAATAAGAAGTCTTAATGGAATGGTATATCCCGCTATCAATTTCACATTCCGCAAAGGGCTTTAAAATGCTTAAAAGATAATCCCTTCCATATTTCGAAATAAAACTTATAAATAATATGGAGAAACCTTTCCGGTAACCGAAGAATCGGTTGTTTTGTTGTTATTTTCCAATAATATTTCAAAGAGCCTTTTGATGCTATCACGTAGTCTCCTGGGGAAAAACTAAGATCTCGCAAAATATTTAGTGATCTCATTAAAAGCTAAGTCCCGGAAACTAAACCGAAATATGTTAACTGGCCTAAAGAGACAACCCTCCCATATCAATAGACAGATTCTCCACACTAGCCGTTAATAGAAAACTCTAGAAAACTCATACACTTACAGAGGTGTACTTTGTGAGAATTGAAAAAGGCATTTTAACGATAAAATTTACTGCTCTTATCGGCTAAAGTGCTGAAGGCCATAAGATTAAGTTAGACCTGATTTAAAAGCCTTCTCTAAGTCTTGATGGAATCAGCTTTTTTAAAGACTTCAGATAAAACCATTGCGAAAGGTATCCAACGCCGACGTAATATTTTGCGGTAATTTTATCAGCCTTTACGTATACCTTTTCCTGACAATTGTAACTGTATAAAATGCTCAGTGAGGTTGTTGTAGGGTGTAGGCAAAGGAATGAAAATTTTACGCGCGTACATTCGTAAAAAAGCTTCTGACCAGCACCGTCATCATGATAATGTGGTGAGCTTTTTTGTCGCTATCAGATGAAACCTGACTGTGTGACCTGATTAAAATGAAAACAACTTCAGGGGCGGTACTCTCACGTAGCACTGTACAACCTAAGGTAGTTCTTAAATTCAGTCTATGGTAGCTCCAAAATTTAGTCTGTGAATTATGAAAGTTTCTGAAAAATTTTTTTTTAAATGGTTCTGTGTTGTGCTCAAAAGTTGATTCTGTGAATAAAACCCTAATGTTTGACGATTCGGGTGAAAGCTAGAGAGCAGAATTTTTTTTTCTGATGCCGCTTATCATGCGGTAGAGGATACTCCTTACTTTTCATGCCATGAAAGAAGTTAGCGCGTCTCCATTCAATTGAACAAGGGAGCAGTTTTGCTAAGTAGTGTTGTTTATTATACTGTACGTACAAGTTAGTTCCAAATTTTCAATCCGTGGATGAAACCCTGGCCTGTGACCACTTAAATAAAACTTGAGCTGTCGAGGAGTTCTTTCATGAAATACTGTCGTATAGGACTGGGGAGGAAGAGGATCTTGTAAGGTCTAAACCTGAACGTTTTGCCATTGCAGCAGTGCTGTTTCTCAAACAAGGCAAGCGGAATTTAAACTATTCGTGATTTCCTTTTTTCCTTTGGGAATAAAGTCAATGCGTTCAATTTACTGTGAACTTTATCTGTCATCATAAAACATGCACATTTGAAATCTCCACTTTCAATTTTCTACTCTTGTTTTTCGCTTTGCTGTTGGAGCGCTTGAAATGTCATGGTACCTACGACTTCCTTTAAGTTTCTTGGCACGTTTTTTCCGGGACTTAAGGACTGACCTTGAAAGGTCGAGAACCGATTTCTCTTGAGGCTTGCGGTAAATATTTACGATCTGGCTCCACGAAGAGCAATTCTTCAGATAACTCATGAACCTATCAATCAGCGGAGAGAGTGTCCAAACTATTTTTACCTCGCTAAGGGGCTTACAAAGGATAATCTCCCTTAACATCTACTCCTCAAAAAAACTCCCTCTTTCACCAAATCCTTTTATTTTCTGTCTTTATCTTCCAACAGCGAAAGTTATCAATGTTGGCCTGAATTTACCACGATGTTCTCAAAAGAGGTGTGGAGAGCTTTTATCAGATAATATGCCTAACTCTCTCTCTACCTTTTTGATATGATAGGTCTCTGTACTCTCCTCAGCTGTTCGATGCGTTTTCTTCTATGTTAGTTTTAAGAGTTTTTTTCGTTCTTTATCTATCATAATCCAATTTTATTTATTCTCATCACCTCTTTGAAATTAAATCAAACGAAATTAAATTAAAAATGAAATAGGATTTGGCAATTTCTCCACTACAAAAGGGCTCCCGTCAATTCCAGATAAAATTGGAATTCTTGTTTTTTTTTCAGTCGCTTCCTTGGCGTAAAGGAAACCAAAGAAACCTCGCAAAAATTTTTCGGCAGTTGGATTGAGAAAAAAAACTACAAGAAATCTACCATCTTATGATTTACTGATGTTCCTGGAATTGCGGAGACCTTAAGACGCCGGCTCTTAAGCAAGATGACGTCACTTATCGAAATTTCACTCCCAAGCCTCGTTTGCACTAAACATTTTTCTTGAACGTTTGCGCCTGTCTTGTTATTTTCATATGGGAATTGTTTTGATTTCAGTGCTTTTGGGAATACTTTTGTATTAAGATTTATCAATCCGCTCCATGAAAGGGAGGTTGGGGTGATAAAATTGATTATTATTCCGACATAAATAGACAAAGCCTATTATGTAATGAAGACAATCTACAGAATTGAAGTCACTTGAACAATCAAGTGACTCTTATAATGAAATATTACTGTTTGTCTCTATGTGTGCTCAATTCCGATCTTTAGCTCGGCGCTTTCCTCTTCCTAAACCTATTTTTCTGTTTGTGTCCTTCATCGCCTGAAGAAGACAGTCATTGTAAAGCCGAAACGCTGAGATCCAAATCTGAAATGACTTCACCCAAGAGATTATTTATGATCTCTTGCTTCACACTGGGAGAAAATTCAATTCTTCATAACAGTCTATTTATAATGATAAATGCTCAACCTTTTTTTTTAGGATCAGGGATGTTGTTATACTTGTTTGTTTGCTGTTGTTTTTGTCCGTTATTTACGTTCCTGGAGTTGCTTCTCTAACGCGGAGACTGATGTTTGCTATGGTGAACAGTGCTAATATTCATGTTTTATCAATAGAGGTCTTTACAATTCACATCTTATAGTGTTAAGTACCTGACACAAATCCTGAAACACTGTACCTTTGAACACTAAGGAAACTCTGATGGAAGACTGAGAGATTTTGATAATATTTTACAATATTGTAAGTAGACACAACCTTCTCTGAATTTCATTTGGAAATTTCTCCAAAGTAGTTACCGGGTCCCATAAAAAAAACTGATGAATTTCCTTATCAGTACATCAGTAATTTAAGAATTGTTGCAAATGAAGATGTGGGAGTCGCTTTGAATCCAATTAATGTTAATCCTGAACTATCTTAATTAAAAAAACTATTCCGGCTTTGTTTTTGGCTGCTTTGGGAGCTTAGGATTCCCAACGGAATCGAAGAAACCTCTTCTCAAACAAACAGTTATATCGTTATGTTTTCTGAGTATTATAATCCAGTATGTAAACTATTAGTTGAGATATAAGATAGTTGAATTAAACGAAAGAGCTGAAAACATCGCTTACCAGCTGTGAAGTTAACTGTAATTTTACCTAAGATTTCCTTGCTAATAATTCATGATTGTTAAGCTTTTTACTGAAAAATGTAACACTTAAATTCTCTTATCCCATTATAGTCGAAAATTATAAAATTGGAAAATTCCGAAGAACGTCATAGCTTAAATTCCAGCAATTTACGTTCTGAAAAGCTATTATGCAAGTATAGAAGAGTGATTTCTGTGGGATGAGTTGAGTTAAGCAAAAATGAAACAAAGAATTGCGTAAGCGTCTCATACCACTGATTAAAACCGAAAGATGATGGTTGAAAGAAACTGTGTAAAGGTTTGATAGTACGTCAAGCTACTGTGCAGAGTAGATGAATTTTCATTGAGTCTTTTTAATCCAGCTTTGGCCGATTATAGCTTTGATAAAGGAAAGTAAACACTTGATCATGAAGGAAGAAATGTAGCTTGAGTCAACAATGGTCAAGATGTTCTTTAGGAAGGTTCATCTTATTTTGAGTTTCAATATGGGGGAAGATGCCTGTAAAGCCAGCATGAAAACGGCTGAACTAAATCATTATTATCCTAAAACGATTAGATAAGTAGCTGTTTATTTTATGAATAAAGCTGATGTTTCAGCCTTAGCCCTTCGTTAGAGCGACAGGAATTGCTAATGAATGACGAATCCAGCGGGCCAATACTCGAAATATCAGCTTTCGAAACTCCTTAAGGTAGACTATTTACATTTTCAGCTCAGTTGATAAAAAAAAACAAATTATTCATTCCATACATTGTCACAAATGTCAGAGAACATATTGCTGCCTTCGATAACTTTTTTTTTATTTTCGCATCTGCCAACATAAGATTTGGAAAGTCTTGTTCACTTCCTCCCCAGTGCTTACTGCTTCTGAAATAATTTGTGAAATTACAAACTGCAATTGCAGGCTTTTTTTAACCGAATTAGACATTACCTTGCAACTTAACCTTAACGTTTCATGTTATTAATTGAGATTTACTTTGGAACACATTGGCAATGAAAAAGAAAATATTCTCATCTGTCGACAGTTTATGTCATAAATGTCAAAGGGGCATCTTGCCTCCTTGGGTAACACACCTACACCTGTCTCAAGAAGATTCAAAACTCAAAGTTTGGTCTCGTATGTTTTCTTTGCTCATAAAATCATTTTCTTTAAATTAATGACTGAAAGCATATTAAAATGTCTTTTTCGAAAACCTTTCAGTCTAATGGACTGTTCTAAGGATACTGACTAAGGCCATGAAACCGAAAGCTTGGGCTCGACTGAAATTTCTCGTTGAAGATTTTTTAAAAATATAATTTCCTGTGACTTGACAGTGCTCGTTGTGGAATGAGTGGATCGCTTCCGTACGCTTTCTTAACTTTTTTACTCAGATCTTCAACGTTTTTTATTAAATATAAAGTTTAAACTGCTTTTTGAAGGACATTTTTAAGGTTCA